TAGTATCTACCAGATTAGTATCTACTAGATAGATACTAGATTAGTATCTACCAGATTAGTATCTACTAGATAGATACTAGATTAGTATCTAGTAACGTCAGGCATTAACAGAAGGCACTGAGGAGAAAAAAGTTTAGAAGACATGGACCACACCCTTGAGTCTAACTAGAGAGAGGGATTCCAGAGAGCAGAGAGGTAAACAAATGCTTGGAATACCATGTGAGTTCTAGATTTAAGGCACGTACAAGGTGCTGTGGAACTCCAAGAGAGGGAGTCTAATCATGCCATTGCTGGCAAGGATGTAGAGCAGTTGGAATTCCCACACTGCTGTGGGAGTACAAAGTGCTACAGCCACTCTGGAAAATGGTGCAGCAATATATACATTTGCCATATGACCCAGCATTCCCACTCTTAAGTAATTCCCCAAGAGAAATGAAAACTTAAGTTCACACAAAACCATATACATGAGTGGTTGGAGTAGCTCTACTTACAATCACCAAAAACTGGAAACAACCCAAATGTCTTTCAGTGGGCGAACGGATCAACAAACCATGCTGTATCCATACCATGGAAGACTACTCAGCAACAGAAGGAATGAACTATAGATATAAACAACAACTTGGATAAATCCAAAAGGCATTATGCTGTTTGGGAGAAGCCAGTCCCAAAAGTTGCATATGGTCTGATTCCAGGTATACGACATTCTCCAAAAGACAAAACTAAAGTGATAGAGAACAGATCAAGAGTTGCTAGGATTAAGGCAGGGAATTACTACAAAAGGATGACACAAAGAAGCTTTTTGGGTGATCAAGATTTGTTTTAAGTATTGTCATTTATAAAAAGACCACTGCCAAATGCTAACAAAATTGTATGCAAACTCATATACAGTTTATAGTTTTTAAAATACATGCTATATTCTTTTAAAGTGGAATCTCAAATAAAATTAGAAACAAATAATAAACAAAATAATCTACGAACACCCAAAAGAATTATCTAATGGAACCCCTCTGCCCACAAGACACCAATTTTATTGTATTTGTTTAATACTACTGGTGACCACCTAACACTCTTGTAGTGATTAAAGCTTTATAATGTCAAAATTACATTATGTCTGGAGTGTAATTAAAAATAATTACACTGCAACAATAATTGATAGATGTAATCCACCAAATACAATTAAAATTCATGACATTTTTACCACTCTAGCTTTGGCATTCTTCATTACTACACCAGGATTCTATGTGGATCAGCTCTCAGGTCTGATAAAGAACTTGTCAGCTTGGAACCAAGCCCAGGCTGCCTGGCAAATTGGATTTGAGATTATTTAAGAAAACAAATTCAGGGCCGGCACCGTGGCTTGGCGGTTGAGTGCTCGCACTCCGCTACTGGCTACCCGGGTTCGGATCCCGGGTGCACACTGACACGCCGCTTCTCTGGCCATGCTGAGGCCGCGTCCCACATACAGCAACTAGAAGGATGTGCAGCTATGACATACAACTATCTGCTGGGGCTTTGGGGGTAAAAAAAAAAAGGAGGAGGATTGGCAATAGATGTTAGCTCAGAGCCGGTCTTCCTCAGCAAAAAGAGGAGGATTAGCATGGATGTTAGCTCAGGGCTGATCTTCCTCACAAAAAAAAAAAAAAAAGAAAACAAATTCTGTGAATACGTGATATAAAGCGGGACACCCAGTCAAAAGTATGTACCTCATGTGCTATGTGTGAGACTAGAAATGTGGCTTTCTGCATATGCCATAAAAGGGAAACTGACCTATAATCTAAACAGTTCTCATGGTAGCCAAGAACCAAAGGAGCAATGCAGTGATGCAAATAACAAGCTTGCCCATGTTCTCCATCTATGTCAGAAAGCTAAGAGGCTTTGCTTTCTACAGAAGTTATATTCTTCAAATGTTGCAGTAAATCAAATCTTTATAAAGAGATATTTAAAATATCTTAGCAGAGCTCACTTTTGAAAGAACACTATAGGTAAAGCTTTTGGTTAAAGAAAATACTCCTTGACACCACCTCAAATTTATCTTTCTCATAAATCTATACTTTCATGTGAGGTGGGTTTCGGAAGTGGTTTTTGTTTTGTTTTGAAAAAGGCCCCCATAGAGATAAATTGTTAAATCAATATGAAAAGTCTAAGGAATGTGGAAAATGTTGATGAAGAGTGGAAGGATGCGGGGGTTAACAAGCTATGCGCTGAGCGCAATGTGCAAGGAGGCCATGTCTCAGGAGGGGATGGGCCCTGCCACCTCAACCCAGAGCTTGAGAAAGTGGAGAGTGAGAGTCGTAGTACAGTGAAAGTAAGGGAAGAGAAACCGACGGGAGCAAGTGGGAAAATGGGGTTCTGCAGCATGTGGAAAAGGGATGCACCGTAGAACAAGGAGAGGGGGCTGTGTGGACCTCTTGTAATTCTCCGGTCCTTTCACAATCTCTCATCTAATCGTCATGTCAAGTAGCACAAATTGCAGGACTGTGGCCTTGCTGATATGACCTCCTGTCTCTTCTGGGGGTGCTTCTCAGAGGATAGTTTAAAGATCTGGTTATCAAGTATTACAGAGATGATAATATCTACTCTGTTCCATATCCCTTCTAATGTTAGACCCTGGAGGGGCTGACGACCCGTGGCACTCAGACAGCAGGGGCTGGAGATGCATCTCCCTCTCCTCCTCCCTCTTCTCCAGAAAATAAAACTGGAGGTAGTGAAGAAAGGCTTCCTTCTTTCCATCTCAGTCCTCCTCACCAGTGTCTGGGAACAAGCTTTGAAATCTTCCCTTCGAGACTGTGACACCAATTGCAAAGCCTATCAACAAAAGCTAACAAAAATTAGACTTACCGAGATCAAGATGAACACCAGGGACAAATGAATTGAGAAAGAACATGAAGATGACAAATCCCAACACCGTCAGGCATTTGGCGAGCAGAATCCTGTCTGATATTCTGTGCTGCGAGAGAGGAAAACACAACTCATTTACTTGATGTAATCTGATTCCTGCAATGTGTCCATATTCCTATGTGACTGGAATCACTACAAATTTCTCCTTATGACAAAAAACAACACCTTGAACTTGAAAGAAGATGATAAGGTAACGCATTACAAGTAAAACTGTACAGATTCTGGGTTAGAGCATTCAAAATTTCTATGAAAAATAAACACAATAAATTTAAAACACAGTACAATCCTTTTATAAAACATCTGACTAAATAGTTTTTCAATATGACACAGAGATGTTAAGGTGTTCCCAGCCCTACTGTCAGTGTTAGGTGAGACGTTGGCAAAGCCATTGGGAAGACAACACACAACCTCCTGGCCCTTCAAGACACATGCATTTCCACAGTTCCTGTGCACTTACAGCCTTTTAGTTCAACTTTCCCTCCTATTACACAAACCCCTGCTCATGGTGGTGCTGAGGTTAACATGTTCTTGCTGAAGGCTCTCATCGTGTCCTTTCACATAACACTCACAGGAACCCTAGAAGGCACTTAGCAGTCCCCTAATCACCAAGATGACACCTGTAAGAGCCTGCCCAGTCATTCGGGGGTGAGGAAAGGTGCCAGAAGGCACACTGTGCTCTGCAGCATCTTTATTAACCTTGGAGTTGCAGACCTCCTTCCAGTGGTCCTGAGCCACAGGGCAAGATGGGGCAAGGTGCCCACAGGGTGCAAAGGGCCATGGCTGTGTGGGGCTGGGCAGGGAGTGAGGTCCCGACAAGCAGGCACAGATGGGCACAGGGTTGTCCTGCCCCACCTAACCAGGCCCCTGTGTGAACAGTGCTCCACCATGTGAACTGACAACTACACCGTGTCTTTTCTTAAGCGTGAGCCCATCAACACATCTGTCTATCTACGTCTATCTCTATCGAGAATTAGATAGATACAGATATCTAGTATAGAGAGATATATAGATATAAACATAGATATGGGTATAGATATGATATGGACATGGACATAGATATAGATATAGATATAGATATGGGTATGGATAAGAACATAGGTATAGACATGGGCAGAGACAGAGATAAAAGTAGAGAGAGATGGCACAGGTATAGGTATAGGTATAGAGATAGAAAGATAGAGATAGAGAGATACATATTTTCTCTCTTGATTTCCTGTCACACAGTTAAAGCTGCTGCCATAAAAACTACAAGCTACCCCTATGTGTTGCAGTGGCTCTGGCTACAGCCCCTGGCCCCTGCTCACAGGCCATGGGGCCCACCTCCTGAGCATCTGTCTTCTTTCCCCACACTGCCAAGGCTCATGGCCCAGCTGGCCCCCACTTACCTTCCCCTTCCCACCTCCAAGGAAGGCCAATTTTGCTAGATGAGTCTGTGATGGAGAATTAGGAGGAAAGGGCCATGGCTTCTCTGCAGGTGTGAGGGGAGGCACTGCACTGCTTCCCTGGAGCCATGTTAACCATAGAAAGTGGGTATCACCATGGCCAGTCCCAGGATTGGAAATGGAGGGAGCAGGCAGGAAAAAGAACATTCTAGCATTGCTCAGCTGGTATAAGTGGAGAAGATCCAAAGTTTGTATTTGTTATTTTAGGTGTCTGTCAAATTTTCTCCTTTTGGCTCTCTGAGTTATCACAGTAAGAACTCTTAAATGCAATACAGGGATATTGCCAAGCTCCTTGCATCTCCCTTCCACCACTCCCCAATCCTCATCCACCAGGTACACAGAGAGGTACACAGTCTCTTCTCTAACTTGTGGCCAGAACTACATGGTCTAGCAAGGCAGGCAAGGTCTTTTCTGGGGCCCAGAAAAGTGTCATAGCCATACCCTCCTTTCTTAACCCTAGCCATCTGAATGGGACAGAGATTGGGGAGAGAGACCCAAAGAACACATTACCCACCAAGACCCCAACATCTAAATTTCCCTTAGGAAAGGACAAAATGTTCCTATCATGATTAGAGAGTAGGTATTCAATCTCTCCCTAGGAAAGAAACTACTCAGATGTAAAATTTCACAAAGATACAAATGACTCCCAGCAGATCGTGAGCGGAGCTCTTTCAGCCAGGAGAGGGACACTATGTGTCCTCAGATGGACTGAGAAAGTCCACCAAAGCAGGAAAATGAACAAAAGGACCCAAAATGAGCTTTGCCCCTAGAAGGCAGAGCCATATGATATGATAAAACACACATACACACCCCGTCTCTGCCCCTAAAGCTGTTCACCTCACGCAGCATGCCTCTCCATCTTGGGCTCCATCTCCTTACCATATACTGGGAACCAAAGACCTGCCTTTCAGGGGCAGTGAGGGCTGCAGGAGTCTCAGGTACAGCCAACCTGTCCTGCAGTCACATTAACCATAGAAAGGGTCGTCCTATCTTAAAGGGAACATAAAAATCTTAACTTTTCAACTTCTGGACAAAATAAGCCTACCATGTCTGGAGAATGACTTTCCCCATTAACTTGGAAATAACTTATGTCTTGTATACAACTACAGGAATAAAAAGAGAAGTGACTTCCAGTAGTAACTTCACGTGAAGCAAAGAAAAGAAATCACTCTCTTCTTCAAGAGGTGAGTCAGAATCCCTGAGAAAAGAAACCACGATACCTTTTTTTGTAGCTCCTGGATATTGGTCTCCCAATTTTTATCTTCCTGTGAGATTTGTCTAAAAGAGAAAAGGGCAGACACTTTATTTTCCTGGTGACATCAGTGATACCCAGCAGTGAGATCAGCAGGGCGGCAGTCAGCAGCACATTTAGCATGGGCCCCTGACCTGGACACTGTCCACTGTGTGACACCTGGTGCAGCCACGCAACGGGGCACTCCAGTCATGGAAGGTGCCCAGTGGAGCTGGGTTTATAGATTGGGAAAGAGCGTTATGCTCGCTCTGTAATTCCAAATAAAAATAATACATGAAATGACAGGAATGTTTAATGAAGTGTGCGCGAGCATGTGCCTGAGTGAGCATGAGCACAGGACACGTCACAAAGAACACTGGCCAAGACATGACCAAGGGGAATGGTGGTAAGCCGCCTTTGTTCTCCTCTTTTCATTTTCTACATTTTGATTTTTTTTCCCAAAATGAGGATGTTACTGTTACAACTAAACTAACTAAAGGAAAAAAAGAATAAAAGAAATGCCACTTGCTTTAGTGGCAATTTTTATCAATTGAAATCAATTTTGAAGCTCTTTCATGGCCTCTTCCTCCCTCCTCTGGCTGGGGTACCCTCCCATCTCCGTTTCAGTCCCCTCATTGGTTCCAACTTGGCTTTCCTTTTTAAGCTTTCCCATCAGCCCATCTTTTCTGCTTTATTTTCTCCCTCACCAATTAGGGAAAAGAAGCTGTGTGGTGGGGAATTTAGTTTTAATGAGCACTCATGTGCAGTAAATATCAAAGGCGGCTGACCACGCAGCCAGTGCAGACCCTAAAGCGAATGACAGCAGACCCAGGCGAATGATTCTGAGGACAATTTCTTAAAAGAAAATGTAGAAACAAGACCAGCAGAGTTAGCACTTGCCTTAGATCGCCCTCATTCTAATCTGCTCCTCAGTGACTGTGTGGCCTTGAGAAGCCACTGCCCTCTCTGGGCCTCAGTTTCCCTCTCTGTGATCAACACAGCAGAGGATGAGCTGGTGGAAACTTGGTGAATCTCTGAGCCTACATGTTCCTTCACATTTGTAACCCTGAGCGACACTGAGTATGTCTTTAACACACCATACCAGATGAAGCATGCTGAAACTTGAAGGTCGGCAGATTAAATACATTCAGGGAAATTTACTCTTGCACCTTTCATTTACAAAGTTTCTACTTTTAGGATCTATGCATGTTACTGAAGTTGGTCACTCTGTCCCCAGCCTGCAACTCAGTGCCTTCCTGTGGCCTAAGGACACCAGGTCCTGCATCTCCAGCATCACAGGGTGGAGGTGGGTCCTGGGCTGGGATTGAGCTGATGACACTGAGACAGCACCTCACCCTGGGCTGCATCTCTGGAAAGAGCGAGTCTCCACATGCTCACCTGCTCCATCTAACTAAGAGACCAGGCTGGGAGACAGCCATGCTGGATGACCCTCAGGGGTCAGCACTGGCACCGCACCTGGCTCCTTCCCCAGCCTGCTTGCCCACTCTCTGGGAACGCAGGGCTGGTTTCAGCAAACTGCAACATGTAAGATCATTCCCACTGCGTTCACAAGGATTTGCATTTCCCGTTGCCTTGACAGACTTCTCATCTCCACCCAGTTCCCAGCTCTGTTGCAAGAAGGCCTCAGTGTCCCTAATGGTCAGGCTCCTGCTTTTCCTGCCAGCGCTTCCAGGGTGAAGACAGGCTGGAACTCAGCACTTTGTCCGAGTGGGGAAGAAAATCTCACCCACTCGTTACCCTTTATGTCTCAGCTTTGATTAAAAACAAATTCCAGGAAGTGAATTGAGTAGGACTTGGGTGTTCTTTGAGCTGCCTGTAAATCAACTACCGAGAGAATGTTTTGTTAAATTAGTTTGTTATATTAATTGTTTTCGATTCTTGTTATGCAACAAGTGTCATGTGTGGAGGTGTGACAGGCAGCAGCTGAGTGTGGACTCAATCCCCCACGTCACTCTTTCCCACTGTATAACCCTGGGCAAGTTGCTCAAATTCTCTGAGACTCAGTGTTCTCATCCTTAAACTGAGGCTAATACCAGCCCGCATTCCAGAGAGCTAAGGGAGGATTGGATAAAATAATGTCCCACAAGAGGCTTAACACAGTGTAAGTCTGACACCCAAACTTACTCATTGGCTTGCAGCTAGCTTTACTATTTTGCAGTACCATGAGTACTCTGAAGAACAGTTATTTTAACTCGATTTGTACACTGTATGACATTGGGACACTACTGGGGTGGCAGTAAATAAGTTGTTCACACAATCCAACCATTGAGCACAACTGGTAAAGATGAGAACCACTTTTGGAAACCAAGAGTGGCCCGAGCAGCCCAGCCTGATACCTGCGGAAGGTGTGCAGCCTGCGGGCCAGCAGGCGCTCCAACGCCAGCACCTTCCCCAGGAGCAGGCCCCGCACCGCCGTCTCCTCGCGGCTGGCTGGGCTGATGCGCTGCGCAGTCAGGCGCCAGACATGGATCTCGTGCTTCAGTTCTGCAGGAAAGGAAAGATGAGGCTTGAGTCTCCCGCAAACCCAGATGTCAGCGGACACTCTACTCCCCTCACTGCCTTCCAAGAATAGGAAACACACCTGATGCCACAAAGACAACCAAGGGCCAAACCAAAGCAGTGGCTTCTTAGCATTCACATTATTGTAATGGAACCAGGAAACAAAGCTGACTTTTAAAAATTACCATGGACATGAAGAAACGCAATTTCAACTCTTTGAGTGAAGAATAAATTCTTGAATAGACATATCAAAGCTAGTACCCAATAACCTTTTCCCCTCCCAGGAGATTACTTCTTACAGCCAGCAGTTCAGGTCTCTCTTTCAGCCCAAATCCAGACATTATCCAATCTTTGAAACAGATCTAGTGAACACCAGAAATACAAGTGTAGTTCTCAGTAGGTGATGCTTAGGGCTCCCCGATAGGGCATTTGGTAAGAGCATAAGGTGGGGAAAGCCCTCCCTCCTGACTAGGCCTCCCAAGTTGAGTTTGTGTCTGTGAAAGGGCACAGGTGAGACAGACATAGACAACTTTATGAAATGCTGAAATTAATATAATGGGGTAAATTTTCACCTATCAATGAATTAAGACACCTTCTGATATAGACGAGTAGAGAGAAATGAATTGTCAATTCATCAGCTTCTAAAATACTAACATCTTTTATGAAAATTTACATTTAACCTCTATTTTACCATTAAAGATACTATATAACTTTCTCAAAATATCCACTAAAATAATATAAGGAAGCACCGTATTTTCATGATTCACCTCTTATGTGCAACACACCATGCCACATATCACAAATATTCAAGATGAAATTAAAGGACAGAACCCTTTCAAGCAAGACTAGAACACTTGACAACTAGCTCAGGGTGGAGGCAAGGCAGGCAATTATCCAAAGACCTGTGAGGTAGCATGCACATGCGGGTTCAATGACAAACAAAACACCACCTTTTAGGCTCCCTCTATTCAGTACACAAGTGTTGATCACCTACTATGTGGCAGACCTACTGTAAACTCTGAGAAAACGAATATGAGCTTGGCAGAGAGACGCAGACTGTAAATGAAGCAAGTCAAGACTCAGAAGAGAGAACTGCAGAGTATAGGGGCACACAAACCATCTCAGTTAACACGTGGTTTCTCTAAAGAGCCACCCTTACAAAGATGAAAACTCTTTAGAACTAAGATGCTTAATGTGTTTTCATCCACTACATAGTGATACTTTGTAGCTTGGGTATAATTCAAAAGCCTCTTCAGAGAAACAGATCCATAATTTCCTTTTGGAAAGTCTCACACCTCATTAGACATGCTATGAGGTTATGATAATATAAAAAGGAGGAGCAGGAGGAGGAGGATAGAAACGAATGAACTAGCCTTCTGACATGCTGAGCACGAAAACGCCACGCTGGGACAGGAAACAGGAGAAGAGGTTGTGCAGTGGCTTCAGCAAAGGTTCAGACGGTGCCAGTATTTCATCTAGTGCTCTGAACCTCATTACGTACAAGACATCCCTATACGTTCCAAGCCCGTCCATAAAGTACTCGAGACTCTCCAGCCATTCCTTCAAAGCATTCTGGTGATGGACACTTTCTCAAGCAGCTGACCAAATTTGAAGGAGTACACAGGAGTGTGGCTTGGCTCCGGGGCCAGCCCATGGCAGCAGACTTGAGTCCTCTCCACGTCTGTGTTTGGAGAAACAGTGACTGGGAGCCACTGCCGGGTCTGTGAGGCTGGCCTTCCGGGTCCCCTGGGCTCCTTTCTGCAGGTGTCCTCTCCAGAGGCAGCCTCAGCCCCTTCATGCACACCCAGAGCCTAGGTGCCTTCTACCCCATCAAATCAAACAGAACCAGCTGCTCTGCCCAGTTCAATCCATGCATTAATACTCAAGTAGTACACTTTTGTTTTCCTAACTGTGGAATGAAATACATCATCGACTATGAGGGCATTTAGTTGAGAGAGATTTTTCCCAGGAGAAGGAAGCTCATTGCCTGCACCCAGAACTCCGTTTACCCAAGCCCATTCACTCCTCACTTCCCGGGCTTCCTCTGCATCTCCTCCGCCATTTCCCCCACCCTGTCTCCTCTGCTAAGCTCTAAGACCATGGTCGCACTGGGCTACTTGCTATTGCCCTCTGAACCTTGTGCTGCAATTCACAGATCAACATTTCACCTTCCCCCACAAAACTCTCTCTCCCCTTACATTCCTAGTTTTTATATGACATCATTAATCTTCCAGGTATAAGAGCCTGAAATGTCATTTTGGTCTCACCATTGTCATTCTCCTCTATATTTCTGCATTAACATTATTGGACACGTAACAGGTGTCAGACACCATGCTAGATGTTAAAGGAGAAAAATAAAGTGATAAGTTACAGGACAAGTCTCCAACAACTAGAAAGAAATATAAGATATATCATAAACAAACATGAGCTAGGGAAGTATTGGGCCACAAGAGCAGTTCAGGATATGCTGCTGTGGTTCTTGCAGGGTCCACTTCTTCCTGTCTGAGGTCACCAACTCGTGCAGGTCTCATCTCCTCACACTTGCCAATTCTGATTGCTCCTCACTAACCTTTGAGTGGAGTCACTTCCTACCAATCCACCCCTGGTTAATCATAAAACACTGTTGCCCTATCATCTGTCTATATCACAATTATGATCACCAGGGAGGTTATGGAGAGCTCCACCACAGTCTCCATAGACTAGCTGATGAGAAAACATTCTGAACACCTCTAACTGGTTGATATGGGTTGAATCGTGTCCCCCCAACAATTCATGTGTTGAAGTTCTGACCCCCAGTACCTCAGAATGTGACCTGATTTGAAAATAGGATCATTGCAGGCGTAATTAGTTAAGGTAAGGTTATTAAGGTGCCCCCAAATCCAAGATAACTGGTGTCCTTATAGACAGAGGAAAGGTGGACACAGACACACACACAGAGACTGACATGTGAACATGAATATGGCCATCTAAAAGCCAAGACAGAGACATGAAACAGATCCTTCCTCACAGCCAACCAACCCTGGAGGCACCTTGATTTTGGACTTCCAACTTCCAGAACTGTGAGAAAATAGATTTCTGTTGTTTAAGCCACCCAGTCTGTAGTATTTTGTTACAGCAGCCTGAGCAAAGTAACACACTAGTCAATGACAAAAGTGGATCGAGGCATCTCGTTGCCAGAAATATTTCTTTTTTTAAAAAAAAAAAAAAAAAGTAAACATTGATTCAATTTTTCTTCAAAATATAGAAGTAATGGGATCACTTGTAGTTGTTCCCTTCTTTATAAAGCTGTAAGAGGACAGCAGCATCTGGGACTCTTTTTCTCAAGGAAGGCACATGTTCTGCTCTGTAGACCACCAGGGATGAGGAATTACCAATGCTATCAAGAAAACAGAGTCCTCTTCCAAATGAAGTAAACTATGCTACATGGCAGGAAGCTTTCACGGCCCTGCTGCCAGAAGGACTTTTCCATTTGGCCCCTAGCACCTGTACCCGCATCCTCCCTTCCCTGCAGCCTCCCTACGCTGGGCTCACCCCCCACAGCTCAGGGCCTGTTTGGTGGGGCCCATGCCGACGCCCGTTCCCAGTGAGCAGCTGGAACAGCAGGCAGTGTGGCCACTTGTCCTGCACTTATGTTGCCTTTACTCAGGGGTAGGCCAGCAACAAATATTGCCTAAAATAGAAATTTCTGCTTATCATCTGCTTTCTCTGGTAGAGGTGGGTGACTAAATCGTACTAGGAACAAGCTTGTTTTGTATAGATGACTCTTGAGAAGGTATATAAGACAATGTTTTCCTAACTAGAACAAAAATAGTCAAATTCTGAATACAAAAGTCACATGTGAAAGAAAGGCAGATCTTCCTTGTACAGATACTATCTGATGAGCAGGAGGGCTGGCAAGAACAAGCTTAGATCCCCAGCTATTCATCTGGAAATGGGATTTGGTTATCTTACTAAAGAAAACTCGAAGTCTTATACAACACGAGGACAGAGGAATAAGACAGGATGAGAGAGCTAAACATACAATCCATGAGCTCTGTGAGGACACCCAGGAACCACATCAGCTGAAACCACAGAGGACGAAATGCACCCTCACACTGTGCTCCTGTCACCCAGATACACTGTTACCCAGGCAACCTACACAGTGTCCTACACAAGGCCTTGCCAAGGAGAGGCTGCTTGTTTCCCAAATAATCTATTGCTTCCAATATGTCCTGATCAGTAATGTTCTCAATAAAACATCTACTAAGATTTTTAAGTGGGGAAAATGCAAAGCCAGAAGATGCCCAAGAGCCCTCTTCCTGCTAGCTGGTGCCCCACCCCTGTGCTGGATTATGTTGCCATTTTTGTAATCACACTTAATCTCAAACTACAACACAGTAGAAAACCACAGTCTGTATGCTATGCCATTTGTATTGTATACATGTGATGTTGTCATGATGTCATGACATGTGAGCTGTATACAGCAGCCATTGCTTCCCACATTTCACTCTACGAAAAACTAAAGAGGCACAGGGTTTTAAAGCCCCTGAAAGCACACTGTGTACCAGGAAGCAGACAGGGACATACCGAGCGGGCAGCATCCCAATCACCAACACTTCTCTGATGCTCTACATGTGATAAAACATCCTGCCTTTTTGTGGCAACTTCCCTTGGGAAAAAATAACACTGTGTAGTAACCTCTGAGGCCATATGAGGAGGTGCTTACACTCACCAACAATCTCACTGGGTTCCTTGTTATAAAGCTTTTTGTTCCAGTAAAGGAGTCTCAGGAGCGGAAAGGAGAACAGGAGAACGAAGCAAATACCAACGAACATGTGTGCTGTGAATCCTGCGAAGTCCAAGCCCTAGAGATAGGAAAGGAGACATGAAACGACAGACAAGCCTCTCCTCTGCACAGGTGCAGCCCCCACTCAGGGATCCCCCTACGTCAGGAATCCATGGAGGGCTGAGTGCTGAGCCCAAGCAGGGGTGGCCAGCCTTAGCTCAAGGACCATGGAGCCCAGCACAAAGCCCATGGGAGAGCAGCTGCTCTTCTCCACGACTCTGAAAATGTCCAAGGTTTGTTTCTTTCATGTCAAAAAACCAATTCTTACTTAAGTGACAAGCAACCTTAGGAGGAAACAAAAACAAAAACAGGCCATCACATCTAATCCCAACCTTGGCTGAGTATATATTCACCAGTGGACTCATGCATTCCCCCAGAATGAAAAAAAAAAACAAAAAACTAAGGGGGCAAAACATAAAACTATGTGCCAATTATTCGCCCATTTCAAGGTAAATTGGATTTTTTAAATATTTCACATAAGCCCCTGCCATCAATTTGAAAGAGCATCCTCATGCTTGGAGAGCACAGCCCTCTGCAGGGGGTCCAGTGGCCATCAGGACTGTGGCTGCCCAGAGTGTCCTGACTGGCCTCAAGGGTCACAAGCAGCAGCCCTCTCCTCCTCACACTTCCTTTGCCATGGTCAGCTGCTAGGGATGTTGTTTGGGCAAAATTTGTTGTTGGGCAAAATTCCCACTAGGTTAATATGTCAGGGAATAAGTCAGCAGAATCATCGGTTGGTTTTGTTCTTTCATTAGCTTTGTGCTTATACCTTCAGTATGACAGATGAGGCTGCTGTCTGCATGAAGCTGGTCATGAGAACCAGCTTCTCACTGGTGAGAACTCCACGTCTTTTCTGTAGTGTTCGTGGACCACTGGTGCCACAAAAGGAGGTCAGAGGTCCAATGACAAAGTACAGGCGTGCTGGGAACCCCAAGGCATGAGGGACCAGGGGGGTAAAGCAGGAGTGGTTGCACAGAACATGGGCAGTCTGGCTCTGCACTGGAGGCTAGGGGGGCGGGGGGCACTCATATGGGTGGCGAGAGGCTAGGTCCCAGGGCACATTAGCGAGGATCTCAAGAGATGTGCCCAAGAAGGGAGTTAGGAAGATCACCTTCCAAAAGCCTGAGTTGGAAGGAGTGATTTCAACTATATTAACTGTTGTTTATTAAAATTTAACTTATTTGTCCCCCTCACTTACAGAAAAGATCTGAAACCACTTATAACATTGCTAAAGATACAGCACAACTAGAAGCCATTATCAATAAATTGTGTCAAAATTTAGGCTCGCAAGTGTACAATGATCTGAAATTCTTAATCTCCTGCAGTTATCTGCACATCCAGTGAAAACAGCATTATGAACTACAGATGGAGCTATAGGAGCTTATTCATATATAGATAGCAAAGAGACCTACAGAGAGGAGGGACTCATGGAATGTTTTTAACGGCCATATAAGAACTACTTTTGTGTAGTTCTTTAACCAGGATATTACCTTGGACTTTGTGTTTATCTATAGAAATCACGCCCCAGATATCTGGTTTAAAAAAGGTCCACATAGGCCAGCCCAGTGGTGTAGTGGTTAAGTGCACGTGCTCCGCTTCAGTGACCCGGGGTTTGCAGGTTCAGATCCCGGGCACGCACCAAGGCACCACTTGTCAAGCCATGCTGTGGCAGTGTCCCATATAAAGTAGAGGAAGATGGGCACAGATGTCAGCCCAGTGCCAGTCTTCCTCGGCAAAAAGAGGAGGATTGGCATCGGAAGTTAGCTCAGGACTGATCTTCCTCACCAAAAAAAAAAAAAAAGTCCATGATACTTTTAGGGGCCCCTTAAAAATCTCTTAATTTCTTCCAAAATCAGAAACAAAGAAAGAATTTTTGAGTCAAAGAAAATGGTTTAAAATATAATAATAATGTATTTGTCTTTACACCAACTCAGTCATGAAATGTAATTTTTTTTTTTTGGAGGAAGGAGCCCACAAAGGCAGAGGTGCTTGTATCCTGAGTAATTCTGGGTTCCTCTGGAACACAATCACTATAAAGTTTTCTCCCATTAGAAATGATGGGGCATGGGCCGGCCCCGTGGCTTGGTGGTTAAGTGAGCGCGCTCCACTGCTGGTGACCCGGGTTCGGATCCCGGGCGCGCACCAACGCGCTGCTTCTCTGGCCATGCTGAGGCCGCATCCCACATACAGCAACTAGAAGGATGTGCAGCTATGACACACAACTATCTACTGGGGCTTTGGGGGGAAAAAATAAATAAATAAAATCTTTAAAAAAAAAAAAAAAAGAAATGATGGGGCAATTGAAGAAAAAAGTGAGGAGTAGATTAAAGAAAGTAAAGGACTAACTGGGTCCTGGAAGTGCCCCACAGCAAAATAACACAGCAGTGAGTGGGAGTATTTGGTTGCTACTAGAGTTGTAATGGGTGAATTTATCAAGTAAGACAATGCAGAATGGAAAAAGTCAAGCTGAAAATTTTAAGAAACAGTACAGGCAGATGCAATGTACAGTGGGATGCGAATATTTTCACTAAGCTTATTCGGTGCATGTATCTGGTCCTCCCTGCTGCTGTTACACATCTCTACAATTTCCTAAGCTCCTCTCTTCAATGTTTTACGTAAGAAAACCACTCACTATTACACTTACATCAAAACAGTGCTTAAATGCAGCCCTGTCTTGCAAGATGCTGGTTCTATTTCACCCCCCTAAGTCTTGTTTTTTACTGTTTTGGCTTTGGCTCCACTGAGCCACTTTCTTCTTAATTTCTCACAATGTCCTCATTTGATAGACTAAGGGGTCAAATGTTGAGGCATATAAAACAATCAAGGAGGATCCCCCAGAATCAGATTAGAACATTCACAGCGGCATAGACTACACATATTTAAGGGTGATCCAGCTGAGGAACTCCTGGCCTACTGTCTTGACATGAGTACAGCCATGTTTGGCCGCTCCATTGACCTACAGCCACCAGCACAAAAAAAAAGAAATACAAAGCTGCTTTCTGTGTGGTGGGAACTGGCCTTTTCCCGGGAACTGGCCTTTCTCCCACGGAGAGAGTTGCAAGTTGTAACATTTCAAGGCTCTTGGAGCATCGTAGCCCGGAATGGACTGGCCATCTGTGCCGGGCTGAGACGATAACCAAAGAGAACAATGCACGTACACAACTACTGGGCTGGGACGTTAGCCAGGGGGCTCAGTGCACGTACGCCACTGATAACCATTTGTGCATGGAAACACTAAATGCTTGCTCTGCAAACTCTGTAATTGCTTACTCTGAAAATTACGGATGGTATATAAACTGCTGGAGACTGAGACCCGGTGAGAGTTCCACCTGTGGAAGGGACGCCTTGCCCAGGACGTGTGATCCTTGCCCAGCCGCGTCGATTGACAGGGCTCTCCCGGCAGTGGGGCGTGGATGTTGTGAGTAACTGATTTGATGTGAAGTAATTCATTTGATATGAAGTAATTGATTTGATGTGTTCTCTTTACGGTCAACCTGGTGTTTCTCTTTCCGGTTGATTTGTGTCATTTCTCTTCAGCCGATGTGGTTGTTTTCCCTTTCCAGTCGGGCTGATGTTTTTTCCCTCTTAATATTTGACCTATTTGGATCTGTTTGCAGACTATCGCCTTTACTATCCTCTATATAATAAAATATACCTTCAGTCCATTTGTTTGGAGTGGAAAGTGTCTTTTACGTCTCCGATTGAATCCCCGAACCTCTCATAACACCTACCAATATCATTTTCTAGGGACAAGGCTTTCAGGGTAGCTCTGTGACAAGCTAAAACAGTCGATTGGGTTGCAGTAGGGTGATCAAAGCCAAAATGGCTTTTTGAATTCTTGAGTGAAAAACTCAAAGAAATTCTTATTAAGTGTTTAGCTGTATCTATTGCATGTTTTAGTAAATATCACAGTGTAATTTGAGGATAGAATCACGTCTGGAGACGCAGCAAGAAGAGGACCCAGCGCTGCAGGAGTGGGTGTGATGACAGACAGGAGGGATCGCTGTGGAACACCCTACATGTGAGGTACCAGCGAGCATGTAGGAGAGGTGACCACATACGCGGAGCTGAGGGTGTAACAGCCTCTGGCAGAGACACTAAGGTGGGCGAGCCCAGCATGCAGGGCACACAGCAAGCCACGGAGCGCATGAGCTCCGCTACAGAATGCTGCCCCAAGAGGAAAAAGGGTCAAAAAACCACAACCCTCAGGCCCACAGATATTGAAGAAGTGTGCGGAAGCAGAAAACCGGCAAGGGAGACTAAGAAGGAAGTGACCAGAGAGGCAGAGCGGGAACCAGCAGGGAGTGACACAAAGTTGTCAGCTGATGAAGTGGAGGAAAACGGTGATGGAGGAGCAGTGGAAGAATGTCCCAGCATGCACAGTGGTCAGGGACACGGTGGGACAGCCGTGAGGAATGTCCCAGCATGCACAGCGCGTGCGGCACCGTGGGAAAGCCATGAGGAACATCCCAGCATGCTCAGCGCGTGGGGCGCGGTGGGAAAGGCCAGAGGAATGTCCCAGCACACATAACTTTTGGGGCACGATGGGAAATGCCTTCCTCTGACCTGTGAGATGCCATTCAGAAGCACAGGGGACAGAGCTCCCCTTGAGATTTTTCAAGTTTAAAAGATAGTTGAATGGTTGTGTTCGTCACTGGTGAGTCTCCCCGCCACAGGCATAAAGGAGCAAATGGAACCAGCAAAAGAGGACTGTATCCCCGTCAGCCTGTTGGGAGATGAAAGGACAACGCGTGGTTGCACGTGGGATCCTACAGCGCTGCAGACTTATGCCCACCCCGGGAAGGGCTGGGGTTGGGGAGTAAGTGATTGTCCACGTAGTGGACCCTGGAGGTGTTCCCCACCTACCTATTAAGTACTGGAAATTCGTCCAACAGAGAGCCATCTCAAGAGGCCTGGGAGGAGCGAGCAGGCTGTGGAAAGGAAAAGTCGGAAGAACCTGCCTCACAACTTCCTGTAACTTCTGCCTAACCCTCAGACACAGAATGTGGAGGATTTTTC